TTCTTACATCGATTCGAAGATTTCCTCGTTCGCGTCGATCACGAATTGTCCTTGAAGAGTTAGATAAAGTATGTGTACCAATTGAATCATGATAAATGTGCAATCCTTGGTAAACTCCGCGTTAATCTCCGAGTTCGACACCTGTTTCCAAGAAATTGTTTTGAGGATGATCAGCGTTATCGCAACGCGATATAATTGCCACTCTGAAGAGCTCACCTTCACCAGTATCACGCTGAAGCATATCATTATAACACCAACGCAAATAAAAAAATAGACCGCATGGATTTTTGCGATCTGGTCAATGTATCTGTTTCGAAATCATTGAAATAGGACGAACTCATCATCGGTGTGACATATTCGGGAGTATATTAAAGACGGTACGTGCAGGTGAAAGCATGAAACATTCCCAGAAAATTCATTTTCATTCCTGGATTATACAATTGCTTGACAATCTTTTACTGGGCAAACAAAATTACACTCGCGACAAATTTCTTTTATCGTGCTGAAAAGAAAAGATATGAAAAATTACTTGGTCGGTTTTGCGATTCGTTCGTCGACGAAGAGAAAATTATACTCGCGCGGCCTGCTTACCAGCGAAATTAGACGTTTGCAAAAACTAACACGCATTCGGAGTAAATGCATTCTGTAAAATTAATGTTAAACATTTCTATACGATAAAAGTGTGATTAAACGTGAATAAATTTCACTTGAAGGAAAATCGAAAATTTCAATAAATTATAATACGGAGTTAACGAGAGAAGAAAATCCCGCGGGCACGATAGTAACATGCTAGAAAAAAAGCAAAGAACATTTAAAACAATTTGACGAATCTTTTTTAATACCGACTTTATAGCATGCTGGTGTCCTTGAATCGAATGACACACTCTTCTATAAATTTCATCCTGCGTGACACTGTTCCTTTTCCGACTGGACAATTCCACGATCGCACATTTGTAACGATATCTACGCATTAAAACCTTACAATGTTCTCATCTGTTGTACCCAAAATTAACCCTTCGAGTACCAATGTTAACCTCAGTAATTTGTTGCCGCATTTCCATCAATCCTTAGAATAATCTTAATAAAATTTTCACGTTAAACACATTAGACTTCGTTTGTTGTCGATGAAATTCAGAAGAAGTTAGAAGTGTTTCGCAGAATAATTAGCGTATCGATTTTGTTGGCACTGAAAGGGTTGAGCTACGAATCGTTCGATCGAATTTTTTACCCGGACACGGCCAACAATCCGCAGCCGTGTTGCACGACGTATATGTAACTGGTGTCACAAGCGAAGTACACGTAAAACACCACCAGGATCACGGACGCCATGTGCGTAATTATGTACACGTCGTACTTATGCTCGTCGGTGAAATAATAGGCCGGGTAAATGTACGCTACGTCTCGTGACTCGTTTTTCGGTAGTAAAATGTCCAAAATATGCGGTGTCACCGGCGTCGACACGAACAGGATGACACAAACGATCGCGTTCACTATCGAATATTTGACAATGTACGTAAAATAAACAGTTTGGTCGTTTAAATAAGATCTGTCTTACCAAGGTATGTCGAAATTAAAAAAGCACCCCTCTCGGCGTATTTAGTCATAATGTCGATCTCCCCTTGTGGTCTCCCGATCGACCAGTCGTTCCTGGCACCGCTAATAAGCGACTCGTACTGCAATTTGATCGATCTCG